GGCTTATATAGCTTTTTTCTTTTTTTTTTTTATCACAAGATTTCCTCACGAGCCTTTCCATCTCGCTACGTTTTGAAGCCATCATGCAAAATTCATGACTTGACCTGCACTACATGTCCTCGGCTGGTGTGCCACCCAATTTACAGTACAGCATCCGCTCAGAGAATCAGCATCTTCCATATCTGTCCGTTTATATATATACATACATCTTATGCATGGAATGTGGTCTATTCGGTACTTTTAGTAGCTTGCTGCTGGTCGTGATACAGCTCCTCTGCCGACTTGATGCACTGCATATTGGCGCCAAGTTTGTTGATCGTCTCCATCCATTCGTCGTATTCATCAGAGTCGAAGACGATGCCGCCGCCTGAGAAGAGTTAGTCTTGGGATTTGCATGGAAAAGGAGACGCCCAGTCCAGAGAATAATCTGTCTTTTGGGGGTTGGGGGGAGGCACACGTGGGACGTACCGGCTTGGAGGTAGGCCACGCCGTCTTTGACCATCATTGTTCTCAACGCAATACAGGTATCCATTGCGCCCTCTACCGTGTTCCCCTTCTCGTCCTCGCTTCCGTATCCAAAGTAGCCCACCGCACCGGCGTAGATGCCTCGCTTCTCCTTCTCCAGCTCGGCAATGAGTTCCATGGCGCGGACTTTGGGCGCGCCAGAGACGGTGCCTGCCGGGAAGACTGATCTAAACGCATCGAAGCGCGTCTTGTCGGGTCTGAGGACGCCGGAAACCTGCGACACCAGGTGCTGGACATGGCTGAACTTTTCGACCACCATGAGCCGGTCGACGCGGACCGTAAACGGGTCTCCTACGCGGTTGATGTCGTTGCGGGCAAGGTCGACCAGCATGACGTGTTCGGCGCGGTCCTTGAGAGAGCTGCTCAGTTCGTCTGCCAGCCGCTGGTCCTCCTCGGGTGTCTTGCCGCGCTTGACGGTGCCGGCAATGGGGTGTGTGATGATTCTGCCGGCCTCGCTCTTGACCAGGAGCTCGGGGGAGGCGCCGACGATCTGAAACTCCTTGCAGTTGACGTAGAAGAGGTACGGCGACGGGTTGACGGTCCGCAGGTGTCTGTAGATGTTGAAGGGGTGGAGGCTGGTAGGTCGGGCGAATCGCTGCGAAGGCACGCACTGGAAGATGTCGCCCTTGACGATGTGCTCCTTGAGCTTGGTGACGTGTGCTTCGTAGCCCTTTTGGCCAATGTTGGAAGTGGCCTCCTGCCCCAGCTCTATGGGGCCTTGTTCGGGAAGCTTGATTTCAGGCGAGTTCAGCACATCGACCAGCTCATCAATGGTACGTTTGGCCGTTTCATATGCGGCTTCCAAGCCAGCCTTGCCATCCTCTGGCACCGTAACGTAGCTAATGACCTTGATGATGCCGTAAAACCTGTCAAACGCCACAATAGTGTCGAAGAGCATAAACAGCGACTCGGGAATCTTGAGAACATCCTTCATGGGTCGTGCAGTCTTGGGCTCAAAGTACCGGACGCAGTCGTAGCCCACGTATCCAATGGCACCGCCAGTCAATGGCGGCAGCTGCAGACCCGGCACGTGGGCGACTACATGCTCGGCCAGTTCCTTCTCCAAAGCCGGCAGAGGGTCCGTTTCAGGCCCGTATCCGGGTCCGGTGGCGAGGATCTTGCGCGGGCCGGCGCCGACAAAGCTATACCGGCCTACTTGCTCCGTGGCGGCAGACTCGAATAGGAATGAGTGCTCGGACGAGGAGTGGGCTGAGATCTTGAGATATGCGGCAGACGGCGTGATGAGATCGGAGGAGATCTGGCGGTATATGGGGATGAGAGTCGGCTTCTTGCCTGGGCCGGCATGGGGCCTCTCGACGATGGACCGGACGGTGTCGAGCGTTGGAACGATGGCCCGCTGTTTGGGCAATTAAGTCAGCAACAAATATCCTGTTCGAGTTTTCTGTTGGCGGCACGTGGATGCTTGCATGGTGCACTTACTGAGCCCGCCATGGTGAGCTGCTACTTCGTGCTGGGAGACGAAGTGTTCAAATGCGTAGTGACTCACGATGCGGTCTTGAAGATGGCGTTGGGGCGGTCGATCTCGCATCGAGCAAGTCGGAAGTCGCTAGTCCCAACGTTGCCGTTTTGTAAGAAAGTGACAGGCCCCGACTGCGGGGCAAAAAGGTACATAGATAGGTGAGGGGCCCATTACGTCTATCGTCTGGGTGCATGCAGTCGCTTTCGTTCATCTCGCGACTTCGGCCAATGACCAGTCAGATCCGATGACTATCACGTGGGCCGTCAGCGAAGGGCCGTGGTGGAATCCTTAGGTCGAGGTCTTTTGAGAGAGAATGCTAGGACAATTATGAGAGGAGCGGTAGTTGAATGTGTGGATTACTCTCGGACTGACTGCGGGCATTTACCCAGCGTGAGTGACAGTTGTTGAGTGATGACTTTGCATCTGTGGTCTTTGGTCCCAGGGACGGGCCATGGTGCTGGATGAGGCAGCGGAACAGGTTGGTTTACGGAGAGATTGACTGCATCGGGAGTTGGATACATATCCATCAACGAGGCCGTATTTGCAATCAAGTTCAAAGACCTTTTGTTTCTCGAGGCCAAGCAAGGCGCGCAATTGGCGGCACTAAGGGCTAAAGCTTGGACCAGAAGATTGCGCTTCCTTGCTCTGTGCTGCCAACCACTTGAGACAATAACTAACAGATTGCTGAGTAAATACATACATGTACTTGCATTAAAACCCATGCCACCTCTATTCCAGTAATATTCTTTTATACAGGTCCCGTCCAAGCAACCTAGCTCTCCACCCCCAGAGCCTTGACACCGACGATGCGTCCCTCTTCGCTCGACACAACCCAGTACTCGGTCCTGGTCTTATCCCTCACCACGCTATAGACCCTCACGTCATTGCCTTTGGTTGCCTCTCTAACGGCCTCGATCAACTTGGTGTACTGGCCTTGCGAGTCCCAATCGACTGGGTCCATAATGCTAATGTCGGCGTTGTCGGCGTCCCAGTGCTTAATGAGCTTGGCGAACTCGACTGAAGCGAACATTAGCACATGAATACTTTTCCAGCACTGAAATAATCAACAACCAAGCGAATGGGGCAAAGAAAGGAGAAGAACGAGCCGAACGCACTCTCATCTGGCAATCCATCGCCACTCCACTTCAGGGACACTTCCTCAAATGGCTCATCCGCATCAGTCACATACACCGCGTCCTGGCACGCATCCCTGATAACCTTGGGAGCTTGAGATCCTTGGTCCACAGTTTTGAAAACGGCGTTGCTCTGCTCCTTTTGCTTCGCTGCAAGCGCATTCCCGTCGTCAAGGTCTTGGTTCGCTTTGTCGAGAAACGCCATATAATCTTCGTCACTGGCCATGCTAGTGCCGCCAGGCTCGACGCTGCCGGTTCCGGGAAAGGAGGCAGCTCGTGGACGTGGGACAGCAGAAAGAGGCAAGGGGAGAGGGCTTGTGATCAAGGTTAAAGTCCTGAGCTTGACGGAGAGCTTGAACGACGTGGCTCCGAGCTTGGCGAAACTTCGGGATGGTGTCGCTAATGGTGAGGAAGACAGGCGGAAATGGTGCAGGCAAGAAATTTGAAGTGGTGACGGCAGTTTATACATTCATATGCGTGGAAGAGAGAGACAGAGAGATCATGGTTTCTCTGCTATTTTGAGTTTCATGGCGACGTCGTTTTTGGCGTCAAACCAGAGAAGTGGGGGTGACGTCAGAAACTGGCAACCGCAAGGCAATTCCGGCCAGAAATACCCACTCGACCGTACCTGCCTTCTGATGAGGATTAGTATATCGTCACAGCCTGTGTGCGGCGGGACATCTGGACAATTTCAATTTTCCATGGTATGATCCGTCATAGTTTGGTACGACATGACGTCGCTGACGCTACGGATATTTCCATCTCGTTTCTGCGTGTCTGCGTGTCTCTGTGTAGCCCTTCCTTGACACAATCTCCCACGCGCTAGTGCGACTTGCCCACGCCCACTTCATGAAACGAGTTGGCCTTGAACTTTGTCAAGACGAGCTTTTCAAACTCGAAACGGGAGGGTTGTTCCAGGCTGAGTACTCCAGAAGCACAAGTTGCTGTAATTACATCCAGAACTGCTCACGGAGAGACTCCAAGCGGGAAAATGGAATGGTGCTAAACGCTCCTTACTTGCGGTCCGTCGACAGGCATGTCGCGATAGTCCGCGAGCCACTCCAACCAGTAATGCATCACATAAGGTAGATGACGGCGATCTCATAGTATTCAGGTCTTGGCCCCAATCACCCATGCCTCACTCAAGCCATGTCCGCCTTACTCGCGAGGATATTAGCATGTGAGGCGTCGACGCTCTTTATCCCACGATATAAACTACACGCCAAAAGGATATCATCCCGTTCCCACAGCGCAAATCTACCGGCTTATCTATGATGCCAAAGACGGCTCTATGGTGCAAAGGGCTGGCAAAATGGCGACATGCTCAATTCGCTCACGTTGCCAAGACGAATTTCATGCAATTCAAGCAGCGCGCCAAGCTTTTGGGGGTCTTGGACATCAAACAGCCACTTTTCAACATTGGCACACTTTTCTATTTTGCGGGCAATGTCATAGGGACGACTGCTGTGCCTATCATGTGTTTTGCTTTGAAAGGAAAGAGGAATGGCTTGAAGGCTTGAAAAGGATATCTTGGCAAAATGGTGGACAATAAGTTTAAAAATACGAGGGCTGCCTTCCGGAGTCTGAGGACTTGCTTGCTGGTAGAGTTTTGATACTGCAGCCCTGTTGGTGTTGATCCCACCTTGTTTTGAGTTTTTAAGTAGAGACAATTCATTGACAACAATGTCGACTCGGATGTTCAGGTGCAGGAGCATTGGGATGAGAGGCTGCTCGAGGTGAACTGGACGGCTGATGAGGAGACGAAAGCAAAGAGAAAGTAGGTATTACCCGGTGTCAAACATGGACAGCTTGAGGGCTTCTTTGCTTACATGGCACTCTTGAACAGGCTAGATGTCATCATTATGCCAATCCTCACACTCGGCTTCTTCTGTCTGCGTAAGTCTCATCTGCCGCACCACCAGCAACAAACACAATCGATTCTAACCAGCCCAGAACTCGACCGTGGTAACACGGCCAATGCTATTACAGACAATTTCATGGCCGACGTCGGCATAGACCAAGACCAATTCAACGTCGGGCAACAAATTCTTTCCCTCGGCGTCGTTCTCACCGAAATCCCTTCCAACATGGTCCTCTACCGCGTCGGTCCGGGCAAATGACTCACGCTACAACTCTTCCTTTTCGGAATCGTGAGCACATTCCAAGCCTTTCAGCGCGGATACGGGGCCTTCATCGCCACGCGTTCTCTCATATCAATTACAGAGTCGGGTTTTATCCCCGGTGGTCTATGGACACTGTCCACGTGGTATACCCGTGATGAGACTGCCAGGCGAGCATGATATTCTATTTTGGAAACCAGATTGGCCAGGCGTCTGCAAAGCTACTTGCGTATGGAATTCTGCATATGAGAGGTGTAGGTGGACAGCCGGGTTAGTTCTGGCTCTTCGCACTCATGGGAGGCTTTACGATCCTTGGCGGGTTTGTGTATGGACTTTTCAAAATATTAACTTATTAAAAAAAAAAAAAAGCGGGCTAGATAGAGGGTATCTAGTAACACTGTATTTTGGCCGTACCTAGGCCAGGAAACCGTAACTAACCACGCAAGACACCATGGAAGTTAATTATATAAGTATATCCCTCCGCTTTACCTACTCTCAGGTTAACATTTCGTTGGCATTAAGGGTCTTGTAAACAGCTTTAAGGTTTCAAAAGTCCCTGTTTTTCCGACACCCTCAAGGGTCAGAGGTTAGAGGCAGCCCTCGCCAAGGTCCCGGACGACTTGGGGTCCTCGTGATGGCTTTCTTTGTTGTTGTGTAATCTTTGTTACGCCCCCCGTCTTTATTGTAGCAGTCAGAGCCGAGTCGACAGCCAAAACAAAGGCATCAATGGTGAAAATGAAGACAAAAAAAAGACAAAGATGGGGTCCATTTACGAGCAAATTGGTTGTTCCTAGGGGACAAAAGACGTCGCTTTTTAAGAATACGCCATCAGTCGCTTTCAGCACCTCGCACATCAAGTTCTTCCAAGAACCCAACGAGGCCATTCATTTCTGCGACATGGCGAGTTCCGGGGGCCAAAGTGTGACATTATATTTTGGGTTGCGTTGAAGTTTCAAGTTTAGCTCTGGTCAGGTGATGGATACGAATTCTCTTTCTCTCTCTGACGTTTGTTCACCGGTAGGCCTGGCTCATCATTCCCGCCCAAATTCTTCTTAAATTCCGGCTCCCTCGCCTACTTTCCACTTCTCATTCTTGACCTACACAAGTCAAAATCCCATGATCAGCTGTCAACTCACTGGAAAACGCCCAAGATACCTGTCAACAGCAAGAACGTGCTCTGATTGCTAAAGAAACACCGCTTGTATTCGTTGCAATAGCTCTCATCCTAGGCAACCCCACGAAGTTTCGAGCACCCAAAAGAAATGTCTGATCCGAGAGCCGATCCATCCAAGATGTTGGAGTAAGTAGTCGCAAGACATGAGCACATTGCGCTGTTGAATGGCTACTAACACCATTGAACAGTCTCAACAGTCCAGTAATCGCGGTCACAGTCGGCTCAGAGAGTGAAGAGAGCGCACCAAGAACATTCTACATCCACAAGAACCTCATCTGCTCCTCATCGGACTACTTCAAGACAATCATGGGCGGGGAGGGAGTGTGGAAAGATTGTCAAAATGGGCAAGTGTCGCTCAAAAAGCAAAACCCCGACATATTCGCCATTTACGGGCACTGGCTGTATTTTCGCCGTTTTGAGTTTGGAACCGATGTATTCGAGAATGAGCGCGAGTTCCTCCAGATTGCCCAGGCCCTCGTGCTGGGAGACTTTATTTGTGATTCCAAGTTTACAAATGCCGTCGCGACAGCCATTCGAACGAAACTAGACTCACTGTCGGCAGGCCCCTTACCACTCTTTCCCGGCGCCAGAGTCATTGATTACATATACAACGAGACCGAGGACAAATCCATTGCCAGAGAGGTTCTGGTAGAAACATACGCGAGACACGGAAGTAGGGAATGGCTCGCTGAGCTGAAAAGGACGGAAGATTTCACTATCCCTTGGCAATTCCTTTTTGACATGGTTTATGAGAAGTTGCCTGTGAAGTTGCCTCCCTGTATAGGTAGAACCGGTACATATGAATCCGTTAGACCTCTCACGTCGTGGCGACCTGGTATGACTCGCAAATAGATTGTGTTGTCAAGAATGTGGCAGATGTCTTTCCTGGTTATTTGCTCTCTATAGACCTCGTCTCATCCGACGCTGACTTTCTGACCTGGAAGAAACACTGCCGATAAAGAGAACCTCGCCAGTCACGCCAGGGTAAAACACGCCCAGATGTCACCTTGTCCTCACTCTAAGCTCCCTCTTCACTAACCTACCATCTTCTGCACACTCACTCCTGGTATGAAAACTCTTCACTCTATTTATCTCGTCTCATTTTACACTTTCATCCTCACACAGTCACCGCCCTCTACACTAACACTCCTGGTATAGAACCCCCACTCTGTTCACTTCCTCTCACATTACACTCTCTTCCTCAGATATAACCACTGCCCTTTATACCAATACTCCTGGTATAAAAATCCTCCTCTGTTCACTTCCTCTCACTTTACAATTTCTTCCTCACACACCCCCACCTCCACCACTTGCCAACTCCATACCGCCACACATTCATTCTCATACATTTCATCCAGTCTCATCCATTCTCAACCCACCCCACCCCCTAAAGCCAAGATGCCTTTCTCCAAAAAATGGGAAATCACCGCCGAGCTCGACCTCTGCATGGCCATCATTTTCACCGGCGGCTCAGCCGGTTCCTACAAGTGGCCCGAAATCCACGAGTTAATGGTCAAGTTCGGCCACGACTTCACCAAGGATGCTATTTCGTACGTTTTCCCCCATCCTCCCCTCATCCCACCCGCAAGTGTTTTATACACTTGGTCTCATCCTTGCTCACACGAAACATGTCACCAGCTAACACGCACCAGCCAGCACTTCACAAAGAGCATCCTCAAGGGATTCAAGGATCGACACGGCCTGCCGTCCGGGAAACTGGAGTCCATGACCCCCACCAAAACGAAGAGAAAGGCGGCCGGTGATGCTGAGGAGTCCCCCTCCAAGAGAAAGGCGAAATGAGACGGCGCGGGGGCTTTGACTGCCTTGGGTATGCATTCTTCTCTTGGCAAACGGGTGTAGGCTGACGAGTGGCAGGGTTGCGCTGAGTCGTGGGGCTGAGATTGATACCCGGATGGCTGTTGGTTCCACGGCGAGCAAATGGACAAAGAGGTGACTTGCTTGGGAGGAGGCGGCGGGAGAAGAAGTAGCCAATGGCTTGGAGGGAGAGACAGCTGCGTATTTAATGGCAAACAGTCCGGATGGTATCTAGAAATATGAAAGACAGGGTACCTTTATCGCACCAACAGAGCTTCGTATTGGAATCGATTCATCATGTTTGTGACATCTAGTAACTCGAGATCCCTTCCATATCACCTCATTCCCAAAGCCTAAACGCCCCCCCCCCCCCCCCCC